CACACACACACCTGTTGTTTTAACTTTATTCCTCAACAGCCGGACTCTTTCAGGAAGTGAAACTTGAAAATTTTGTTTTTTGAAGGAATTTAGTTTCAAACCTTTCTGTCTTGTAGTGTCAGCTGACCTGAACGCTGCGCTCTGATTGGCTGTTTTCCATCGGCTGCTCTGATGTTTCCCGCTATCAGAGTTGAACATGTGTTTCAGAAAAAACTCAACTTTGTGTGATTTTTTTTTAGTCGAAGATCCTGTTTCATCTTGTTTTTCAAACCAAACTGAAGCATTTCAGATGAACAAAGCAGATTTATTTGGATAATTCTAACTTGTTGTTGAAGCGTCGCCATCTAGTGGTGATGAYTTMATCAGRAYTTATATTCTRWTGATACATTTTGTTTYAAATTTGTTTTGTTTGTTGTGTTTTTAGTTGAGATCCACATCCGAGTGGTCCTGAATCGGACCGTCACCCTGCCGTGTCGGGCTCCCGTCATTTCTAGCCCCGTCCGGTTCTTGGAGTGGACCAGAGTGGACCTGGAAGCAGCTTATGTGTTCCTGTACCCAAGYGAGCGGGTCCAACCAGACCTCCAACATCCGTCTTACAAGAACCGSGTGGACCTGCTGGACGGGCACATGAAGGACGGAGACGTGTCCTTGGTTCTGAAGAACGTGACYAGGTCTGACAGCGGAACATACGAGTGTCGGGTCATCCAGAAAGAACCCGGTTTTGGTTCTGAGCCCGTCATCATCGTCAAGCTGAAGGTTGTCCCTGCAGGTGAGTTCTGAGGGTCCAGCTTTTCTCAGCTGGTCTGAGTGGACTCTAAGACTCAAACCTGGTTCTGATCCGCAGATCAAATCCGTYAGGACAAAGAGGACAAGAAGGAAAACCGAAGAGGAGTCAAAGACTTCAGATTTGAAGTTGGACACACTGGAAAATATGTTGGAGCGGTTCTGCTCACGGCTCTGATGGTTCTGCTGCTGGTTCTCATTAGAAGCACATTCAGGTCTGTTCTGGAGCAGAACCGCAAACCTGTGTCTGACTGATCTGTTCTGAGGAAGACCTTCAACAGAACCCATGTCTTTGACACGGGTCACATTATTCTGTCTGCAGAACCAGAACCACTGCTCTGTCTAAGTTCTGTTGGGTCTCAGCTCAGGTTTCATCCTCAGAGCCAAAATTCAGACTGTTGTGCAACCAGTGGTTCCTACATCCTTCCTGCAGAACCGAACCTCAGGAGAGACTCTRTGTTTGATGTCATAAAACTTTATTTTTATTACAAACTCAGGATAAAACCTGCTCTCTTTGGTTTTGTCTTTCAATCCTTGTTTTTATTGATAGTTTTTAAATGTGTTTATGAATGAATCTCTCTGAATGTCAGTTTTTATTCTTGTGATGGAGCCGCAATAAAGAGGAAGTTTACTTTAACTCTGATGTTCTTTACTTTTCCTAGAATTCATCTTATATCTGCAGAGTAAACAAAGGTCTCTTCAGTAACTTCCTGGTTCGGTTTCAGCTGCGTTTAGCTTCGCCTCTGTAGGGGTCACCTCGAGTGAAATTATCTTGGACTCTCAGTCCTCTGATGGGCCTTCGAAGGGACAAACACTCTGTTCCACTTAGAACTGGATTTAGGCCACCTCAGGTCGCCTTAACRTTTCAGAGAGACATTCTCTTCACTCTAAATCAGATAATAAACAGAAGAATCTTCATCTTATTTGATTTATTGTTCTCTTAACTGAAAGTATTACTCATTTTGATAATCAGAGAATGTTTATCAAAGTTACAGGAGAAGAGAGGACAGATCTCTTTTCTCCCTCAGTATGATTNCGGTCCTGCAGCAGGAAGTTCTCTCTCACCAGCAGGAGGCGCTCCGAACAAAGAACCACAGAGAGAGAAAAAAAACAACAAGTTAATGAAAGCCAGATGCACTCAAAACTCAGCAGCAAAAAAACCCCACTCCTGGCTGCACTGCCGTAAATCACTTTAGACAGGACAAAGAAGCTGCAGCAAGAAAGAAAAAAAAATTTGAAGCACCCCCACCATTTGGTTTTCAGCCCAAACCGAGCCAAGTCAATACACAAATAAAAACAGAAAAAACAACAAAACCCCACATTTAACATCAAACACACATTTAAGACAGACAAAACACACAGGCCTGCACTCCCTTGCTTGAACAGAACTTTAAAAAAAAAACAACAAAAAAAAAAACCCATGACATGTCTCCCTTTAAACTTCCAGAAATTAGACGGAGCTTCCACCACCCAAACTTTCTGCTACCTTCCCGGCCTGTTTCATCGGAATTAAACAGTACTCAGGCCTCAAAAAGACACTGCAACCGGTTACTCTTATCCGGGCAAGATAACAACAGAATCAGGCTGAACGGCCCTGCACAACCACTCCCTACCAGTAGCTAACAGGGCAGCAAAGGACGTCTTCCTGCCGACCCGTATCACAAGCCACGGAGGTGCGGCCAACACTCATTACCAGAGATGCATCTCATACACTTTTTCTTCAAAAGTACGCGTACATTTACTCATAAACCACCAGAGAACACACGCTTAACTCTGCGGCGGGCGACACGTCATAAAAAATAAGAAATAGCCTAGCAAGTTTGGACACACAAAAACGAACAACGACAGAACACCAGAAATTACACGGAGCCCATCACTGCGGCCAACCGACAAAACCTGTATGAACCTCCCTGAGTCTCAAAGGCATAAAAATAAAAAAAAAACAGAAGTAAATACGGCCGATATTACCCACGTTAGTTCAATATTAACCTTTTAAGACTGTTCAGGCCTGGATCGTGACGCCATTTTGTCGTGTTCTTCTCGGTTCACTTTCAGCTGTCGGCAGCTGGGACCCTCCGTCTCCCAGTCTGCTCACGTCTGGTGCTGCTTTTCTGGTGGGTTGGTGGAGCGTCTTCCTGAAGACTTGTTGACTGTTAAAAAAAACTGTTCAGCTAACACAGGACTGAAAAAGGTGACGATAATTCTTCAGCTTCTGGACAAGTTTATTAGCGAGAGACATAGGGACGTGTCCTCACAGCGAGATGGAAATTGGGCTCTGAACAAAGGGCGCGCTCACGCTTCGAGGCGCACTCACATTCTTAAAGGCATAGTACATGAAATTCACCACAACACCTTTCAGCTGAGTCAGATTTATTGACAAGAAGCATCATTACAGCACAGAAATGATCAACCAAACACACATTTCTTTACTGTAATGCAAAGTTTAGATGCTTTAAAGACCTGCCCATCTTCATGATTCTGTCTTTGTTCAGAAGCTAAACTCCGCCCACATGATTCAGTGTTTTCAGATCAGATCTGACATGTTGGTCTTCATCCACGTTCAGCCCTCTGTCCTCTAATTGTTTRTCTTTCAGTTCACGATTGTCTCATAATTTGTTTTATGATAATCTGTCCAACTAAATAAAGTTTTAAAAGAAAACAAAATGTGTAGCTTTTAACTTACAGAGTGGAAAAATAAAATCAGTTTGTGTTTTAACTGTTGGAGGCAAAGCAGCTCTTCACTGACATCTGGTGGTTCAAAATGAAAACTGCTCTGAAGACTTGACACGTGAATATTTGTGAAAACAACAGGAAACACAAGAACTACTCTGCAGCTGAACAATAGACAGATAAACCGTGATTTAAACATCATTAAAATAAACTTTAACTAATAATTCATGCACCAAAATCTACTAAACTCCTTTACATTGAAATGAAACCAACACTTGATTAATCAGCTGGGAACATTCTGTCCAAGTCAATAAATGAAGATTTTTTAAATAGAATTTTCTGTTTTTGCATTTGAATAATATGTTGTGGTAGTCTGTTTCTGAAGACCCCTTATGA